AGTGAGAAACAACTTGATAATTTATGAGTGGTGAAACCCAAAGTCGAACAGGTTTTCCCTCAGGACAGGAAAAAAAACATATGCTGCACATTTTAGACAACTCTCTTCTTCAGCTCTCTCATTTTAAGAAAGTACACATTTTCTGGCGGGGTGGTCGAGAAAGAATTATGCAATTCAGTCAGCCCACGTTTTCTTCTATGAAGCATCTCCAAGAGAACTATGCCTGAGTGACGGATTTTTTTCTTGCTTTTTCTCTGAATCTGTGCAGAGGCTGGGCCTATGCTAATGAGGACGTCCTGGGAGTTCAGTGGCCACATTTGGGATGTCCGGGGGTCATTACTAAGTGACTGGCCCATGGAGATGCCATGCTGAGGGAACAGCTAGTAAAACATCCTATGCAGTGTCTGACATGAGCACCTCCCTTCCTTGTACGCCCCTATGTTAGACAAAAGATCTCTCTGTTTTTTTCTTTTAAACCAGGGAAATGGATTTGGTTACAAAGAGACAAAGAAAGCTCTTCCATTGGAAAGAAGGGGACATTTCAGTTGGGTGAGGAGAGGTTAGGGGAGAGTTGCTGGAAGATACCCTTGGGATGATACCCAGACACACACATGCACATAACATATACACATGCCTACACAAGCTTGCACAGGGATTCATGCTCAAACATGTGTATTTAATCATGAGAAGGATGTGGAATATTGAAGCAAAAAAGGAGGAGCCAGCTGGTTAGTTCTCTCTCCCACAGCCTTGCTCTCCTTTTGCTTGGAAAAGTCTGTGGCAGCCCAAGGGCACCTGAGCTGGAAAACTGACCTAAAGCACAAAAGCTAGTCTCGAAAGTTTCTTACCCTCACAGCGAGACCGTGGGTTTCAATGCAAGACATTAGCTGCTTTGGCTTAGTTTTGCCACTGGCCATCATGGAGGAGAGAGAATTGGAAGTCAGGAAGTTGATTCAAAGGTTGAAGCTGGAAAAAATTAATTTTTTGATGAAATCCCAGTACTGCCCCTTAGTTCTTGGTTCTCAGTTCAAGCTGACAGTGCTTTCACTAGGACAATTCTCTTAAATATTCAATGGGTTCTCCATGAATCATACTAAGTTTCGGTCCTTTTGAGAAAGGCACAACCTCAAATCTTTTCAAGATAAGCTCTCTTCTGCCTTGGAGTCCTTATGAAGCTGCTATGTAACAATCCTTCAAGATTCTAAGAAGTCCTATTACTTAACAGAGAGTCTGCGAGGCATGCTCTAAGATCGTTAGAAGGATTTTTGTCTATTTGAAAGAGTCTATGAGGTGCCATCTTAAATTTTTCTGAGGTTTTACAAAAGGATCTTTCAGGCTCATCCTAGATTTGATTTTTGCCTGGAAGCCATTTCTTAATTTGAGAATAGTTTGCCATTTTAAGAGATTAAGAAAAGGTATACTTTTATTTTCAAATCTAAAAAGTCCTGGCTTCTTTATATTTCTTTAAATTTTGCTTGAAAATTGAGCAATTGCTGTATTCATTTTTTTATTTCTGGGGAACAAATTATCACAAACTTAGAAGCTTAAAGCAACACAACTTTATCATCTCAGTTTCTCTGGATCAGGAGTGCAGCATATTTCAGCTGGGGTCTCTACTCAGGTCTCACAAGGCTGAAATTAAGCTGTCAGCCATCTGCGTCTTCATCTGGAGGCTCAAGTGGGGAAAGATCCAAGCTCTCTCAGTTGACGGCAGAATTCATTTCCTTGGACTGTATTACTGACGTCCCTGTTTCTTGCTGCTGTTAGCTCTTAGAGGACACTCTCAGGTCCAGGCCATGTTGCCTTCCACAGCCCTCCCACACTTGAGATCTCTTCATAGAAAGGGATCAGTCCCTTTTAAGGGCTCATCTGATTAGGTCAAGCCCACCTGGGACAATCTTCTTTTGCTTAACCCAAAGTTAACTGATTAGGGACTTGAATTATGTCTGTGAAATTTCTTCTGCCATATAATGTAATCTAATCACGGGTACAGGAGGTAGAGATCCTAGAGGCCATCTTAGAATTCTGCCTGCCACAATTCCTTTTTGGTTCACCTCTCTTCTCCCATTTTACCACAGGCAGCTACAAAAACTCAAGCAGAACCATTGGTGCTCTCCATGGAAACATCCTCAGCTAGATCATCAAGTTTATTATTACATTTTACATTTTTCACATTCTGCTACTACATGAGAAGGGCCCCCTTTCTCCAGCTTCCAATAATATTTTCCTCTCTTTCCTGTAGGCCCTTTCTGGAAGCTTCCTTGGGGGCTTTTAGACTTCTGCTAACATTCTTCTCAAAGCCCTTTAGGTTTTCACTAACATTCTCCTGGTATCCATTCCAGCTTCCGCCAACCACGTGGTGCCAAAGCCAGTGATATGTTTTGGGTTTTTCTTATGGCAGCAGTACCAAAAGCAGGCACAAGCGCCAAAATCTGCATCAGTTATCCATGGATGTATAGCAAACCACTCTAAAACTTAGTGACTGAAAACAACAACAATCCTTTTTTAATGTGCCAGGAGAATTCCAGATGTAGGTCTGCGTTTACTGAACCAATTAACACATAAGATGAGATGAGATTGCTCTGTTAGCTTAAAATTCTCTGGGCTAGGCGTTCTACCTTTTAACCATCAAAAATTAGTTGTTTGGACCAAACTCCCCACTGAGAACTAGAAAAGTTGGGACACACACACATGGACAGTTAAGATGTGTGGGGAAAATATCTTAGGGAGAGAAAAGAAGCCCAAAGACGTGAGTGTGGCATTTGGTGCCACTATTCTTTCAAGAGAAATGGCATTCTTACAAGCAGTAAATGAGAAGCTGAGCAGAACTTTTAGACACAGGTCTATGGGGCAAGGACTAAAGTTCAAAGCTTGCCAAAGAGGAGCAATCTATGTCTAGAGGTGAGTTGGGACCCCAAGGGGACATAGGCTAGGAGTACAAGTAAGCTTGAAATAGACCAGTATCTCCAGATATTGACATCCTACTTCAAATCATTTTAACTTCTGATTATAAGGTGATCTGGAGGCCACAGCTCACGGCTGACTTCCCCAAGTAAAAGAAAATTCTCTCGGAAGAAAGATGACATTATTGAGAGCTTCCATTTCTTCTCCATTTTTCATATACAGTGTCTGATACCCAATCAAAAACCTTTGGGTATTTGAGAAGATAAGACTTAACTGAAAGTCAACAAAATAAAACATATGATAGGTGTCTATTATTTTATCTGATGAAGTTATCAGATATGAACTTTAAAATAATATGTTCAAGGAGCTAAAAGAAAAATAGAGAATTTTAGTGGAGAAATGGAAACTAAAGGGAAGAACGAAATAGACATTCTAGCTGGTAAATTCTAATATTAATAATAACTGATATTAAGAACTTGATGATTAGCACTCTTGACTTCACTGTCATGTGTAGAGCAGTGCACCCAAAAACTGCAGAACCATTATCACAATTAAATATATGCTAGTTCATCAGCTGCTCTAACAAATTTCATAAGGTTAAAATTAGAGAGTATATTCTCTGACCACAGTGGAATTAATATAGATAACAATACCACCACCACCAAAAACTAGAAAATTCCCATATGTTTGGAACATAACCAATATACTTCTAAATAACCCATGTGACCCAGAAGAAACCATAATAGAAGTCAGAAAACATGTGAGCTGAATAGTAACGAAAATCAGGCGTAATAAAGTTTGCTTGCTGAAAAAAAGTAGTTCTTAAGGAAAAATATAAATGTCAACATAGATACTAGAAAAGCAAAGGGGCTTAAAGCCAGTGATTTAAGTATCTATCCCAAGAAGCTGCAAAAATAAAAGCAAATGAAACCCAAAGTAAGTAGAAGTAGGGAAGTACAAGAACATAAATTATTTTAGAAGGAAAGAAACGTAAAAGGAAGAAGACTAACAAAGCCAAAGTTGATTCTGTGAAAAGACTACGAGAAGTGATAAAACCTTGGTATGAGTGATCAACAAAAAAAAGAGAGAAGGTACAAATAACCAAAAACAGACATGAAGAAGAGATATTAACACAGGTCCTTCTGACAATAAAAAAAGACAATATGAGGATACTAGGATTATGATGAGAGATTTGAAAGTTTAGGTAAAATGAAAAAATTCCCAGAACACATTTACTACAACTGACACCGAAAGGTAGAAATTGATCAACTGATTCTAAAATTTATGCAGATATACAAAGGGCGAATAATAACTGAGACGATCTTAAAGAAAAAGAACAGAGTTGGAGGAGCCACACTGCTGAATGTCAAGATGTGTTATAAAGCTATGCAACTGAGACTGCAGTATTGGCACAAGGATAGACTAATAGAAACAAAGAACACAATAGAATCCAGCAAAAGACCCACCCACATATGGATGCTTGATTTATGTGAAAGGTGGCATAGCAGAGAAGAGAGAAAATGATCTTCCAAAAATTAGTGTTTGGTCAATTAGATATCCATATGAAAAAGAAAACTGGGAATAAAATTCAGCTATTTTTTGACTGCTCCCACCGTCAAAGTAGGAAAAAATTCTAGAAAAAAAATAGGAGAATATCTTCATGAAGTGAGGTGGCAAAGCTTTCTTAAATGGGACCCAAAAGCACTAACCACAAAAGAAATGATGAATAAATTAGAGTAAATTAAATTTAGGAACTCCTATTCCTAAATCAAAAGACACCAATAAGAGAGTGAAAGGCAAACCACAGAGTGGGAGAAGATATTGGAAAAATATATAACAGACAAAGGGCTTGTATGCAGAATATGTAAAAATAATTTTTATAAATCTGTAAGAAAAATATAAATAATCGTATAGAAGGATATTCAAATGATCAATAAACATATGAAAAGATGCTCAATATTATTACCAATCAGGAAAACACGCAAACTAAAACCACAATAAGATACCACTACACCCCCAACAAAATGGCTCAAATTAAAAAGACTGACTATATCAAGTGTTGGTGAGACTATGGAACAACCAGAACTCTCATACACTGTTGGTGGGAGTGAAATTGGTGCAACCATTCTGGAAAAAATGTACATTACATGTAAATGTATCTTACAACCCAGCTAGTCTCCTTCTAGGTTGATGTTGAAGAAAAATGCTTACATATGTGAAGCAAAAGACATACACGAGAATATTCATAGCATCATTATTTGTAATAGTAAAAATAATAACCAATGCTGCCTCAACCATCAAATGACAAATACTGTATGGTTTAATCATAAAATAAAAGAACATTAGCAATGACAATCAAAATGCTACTGCCACACAACACGGATCAACCTCACCAACGTAACGTCAAGCCAAAAAGGCAACCCGCACAAAATACATATATAATATAACTCCATTTATATAAAGTTCAAAAACAGGCAAAAATAATCTTGAGGTGTTTTCTTTGGGGAGGATGAAGGAAGCGGAGATTGGAGGGTGGGTCTTTCCCCAGGCTCACTGAGTTTCAGCTCACGTGTGCATAGATCAGTACTTAGTCAGAAACTCAAGAACCCTCTGCTAATCTCCAGAGCTTTTTCTGTGCAAATTCCTCTTCTCTGGCACTCTGATCCACAAATTCTAGCCACCTTAGCCTCCCAGAACCCCATAGCAAGCCCTCAGGCGCTGTTTGGGTTCCCCCTTCCTGAGCTGAGGCCTGGAAACAGCCTCCAGGCAGGAAGCTGGAGCAATTGAAGGACTTACCTCATTTGTTGGCCTCCTTCCGTGGGTCGAAGTCTTGCACAGCCTGCTATCCAATGTCTAAAAACCATGCTATCATATATTCTCCCCCAGTTTTCCAACTGTTTATGGCAGGACCGTGGTGTTAAAAGTGTGAGTATTTGGATCCCATTCCTGGAAATTCTCATTCACTAAGTCCAGGGTGAGGCCCAGGCACCCGCGTTTTGAAAAAATATGTGAAAATGATTCTTCAATTCAGTTCCCCAGTTGTCTATGATGAAAAAAGAGGCCATTGACACTAACTGACAGGCCTGTGGTTCCCTATTTGAAATATTGATGGTCACATTTACACACAAACACACACATACACACTATGTGTATATTTGATTAGCATATATTATCATTTCAATTAGTATGTATTCATATACACATTATTTTAACTATACTGGGCATTGTGAACCTATGAATTTGAATTCTAAAGTGAAAATATATTCACCATTCTAAAGTACAAAGTCAAGCCGGTTTGGCGTGCATGCCTAATTTTTAAAAATCATGTTGGATATTCCTGAACAAATGACATCTCTGCTCAAGGAGTTGTAAGATTTATTGATCTTTTAAGAAAATTGCTGAGCCCACTTACATCTGGATCCTGTAAGCTGTAGCAGTTTTTAGATTATATTAACACTCACACATCATAACTTGCATACACATATGTGTTTTTCAATATTATAATATCGTTAACAGCTAATATTTACTGAGCACTTATATGCCAGGCACTGAACTAAATTCTTTATATTGATTGCATCTTTTGAAACTCAAAAGCACCATAAAACATAGATCATGTCATTGTCTGCTCTTATGAGGCTGGTGTCTTGCCCAGCGTTAGGCAATGAGAAATTATAGAGTCACAAATCAGCTCAAGCACTTGTGAGTCCAAACTCTGTGCTTGTGGTAACTACGCTGCAAAATTGGAAAAAGTCCTCCCAATGTTTTGAAATAAGAAAGCGAAACAGTGAAGGAATTTGCGCCAAACTTTGTTTTCTCACATTGATGATTTTGAAATAAAACTCTTTTCTGGAAAGGAGCACGAAAGTTGCAAATGGGAATTTTTCTAGCGATAACCCTTTTCCCCCAAGTAAGTAGTAACCTTTCAAGTCAATATTTACTGTTATTGATTGAAATCTAAACATACAGTAAGTTCAATTGAAAAAGGAAGTTTTGCCATATCAAAGGACTTTGATGCAGATAAAGAAGAAAATGATTAATCTTGGGGGAATCAGAACTTTGATCCCATGTTTACGCTCGGGTGAATGGCAGCAGACACTTTACCAGAGAAGAGTTGTTACAACGAGTCTGTGACTTCCGGAATCCCTTGGATCGATATGCAGCCCTTGCCATGTTTGTAAAACCCCGTTTGGATGGGTTCTGTTGAGACATCTCACAATACCACACATTCTCCTCTCATTAAAGCTGCAAAGGCTGGAGTCAAGAGAGTTGAGCCATCAGGTAGGGTATTGTCTCATTTCCAAAATAAATGACTCTTTTATTAACTTGCGCTGAAAACACGAAGGCAGTCTGTGCGTATGTGCTTCAGAGACCACCATAAAAGGAAAGAGCAGGGAATATTTTCCTATTGCTTCTGCTTTTGTTTTTTATTCTGAAGATATACCACTTTCCTCTCCTTCACCTTTCCACACCCAGAAATATTTGTCTGCTTCATAAAGCTCAGTTTAAAGAAACTTGGGTTAACGAACTCCACATGAATAGAAATGATGTCCAGGTTTCCGTGGCGAACATTTAGGGTTGCCCGTCTTCTCCACTTCATACAGCAATTGCAAAGTGAGAGTTACACCAGCCTGCAGGCCTAATGAGTACCTGCTTCATTTACTCATGATATAACCGGAGCTGCTGCAAAATTGCTTTTGCAGAAGAGATGAGAAATGATAAACAAGCTCCTCTTCCCAGAGGCATCGTAGCTTATCCATAACTATCACTTCATAAACAGATTCAATCCAGTTCTCATATTTGGGTGTCTCAAAGGAAAACAGTACCTGCCTTGAAAACAGGGTAGGAAAACATGTGCTCTGGCTCCAACTGCTTAGATTTGGATCTCAACACAACCACCTGCTGGTTGTGTTATCCTGGACAAGTCACAACCATCCTGCGCCTTACTTCCTTATCCAGAAAGTGGGAAGATAATGGTACCCATCTCATAGGGTAGTTGTGAGGATGAGTAAGCATTTGGGGGGGGGGATAAAATTCAGCTATTATTCGACAGCTCCCATGCTCATTGCAGGGATGAACTCTCCCAAATACATATCAATCTTGTTTGAAATAAGATAGACAGTATCTGATAGACTTAAGAAATCCCTAGATCAACCATATTTGCAATATATGCTAGCTAATTTCATCCAGCCTCAAGACACTTTACAAATCCCTCCCATATACAGAATCTACCATGACTAGCCTTGAGCAAAAGGACATCATGCCTGTTCCTCCAAATTCCCAAATTACTGTAACTGCTGTCTGGCTCATCCTTGTGGTTTATCACATATTATCTTGTATTCTCAATTATATTTCTTTTTATTTATGAATTGTCTTCCTAACAAGACTGTGGGCTCCTCAAAGGTGGGAACTTTGCTTAATTGTTGCTTGAGTTCTCCCTTACACTTATCATCATCATCATCATCATCATATCTCCTCTTATCTCTTCAGCTAAGGCAATCCCTGAAAAGGGCTGACAGCTGAAGACTATCTGCCGGCAGCACTCCCAACAGCTGGAGTAAAAAATCCTTCATTCCTGAAGGGGGACCTGGATGGTACCTCAGAACGTCTACTATAATATTCAAGATAGTGGTAGGTGTAATAACCACAGAAGGTAGAGCCAGACCTTTCAGCACTTGAGCAGAGATTTGCTCTCTGTCCCTTTGTGATAGTGTTGGGTGCAGATTTTCCTGGGAGGATAGGCTGGATGACCTCTGAAGGTTGACCTTGTCTATCATTGGCCCATGAGTCAATGGCAGTTGAGGGGCTTCCTTCGGCAAAAAATTATTGCCCTAGTGAATCAGAACATCAATGCTAACAAAACATAGATGTCTGAGCAATTACAGGTTCAATTGCAGGTCCAAGAAATTCCACTGATGATTCGTTTCCCCAAGCCCAACCCAAGAGAAGCTGAAGAAGAGCTAGAGATGGCTCTGCAACTTAAAAACAAAAGAAAACAAAACAAAAACAATAAAAAACTCTTTGAGGAATAGAAGGTGGTTGGGTCTGGGGCGGGTAGGTGATGAGGCATGATCTATAGCCCCAAATGGGGATAGGCTGGCAGGGAATTTCTAGTTGTGTTCTTTTCTCTCCCCAGCATTGCCGTGAGCAGATCATTGCCATCTCTGCCACAACCACAGGGCCAGTAAGATGGTATCTTGGAAGCTCTGGAAGCTGCGGGTAAAAAATAGACAGCGTAAATGCAGATGAGCTGGCAACCTGCTCCTCCTCAAACCACGCCTCAGTTTGAGCACTTGCAACATCCTTGGATAAAAGGAGTTCCTGAGAAGAGGGACTGAGGGAAATATGCTGAATAAAACAACGACAAGATAATTTTTTTGCCCATTAGAGTGGAAAACCTTAGAAAGAGCATTAAGTGCTGGCAATGGTGTTGGGGAAGAGGAATCCTCAGCCACAGCTGATCAGATGATTCTGGAAAACAATATGGAAGTGTGGAAGCACTTATTGAGACTTAACATGTGTATAGTCTGCATCCTGGCAAGCCCACTTCCGCTATATAATCTAGAGAATTTCTTGCAAGACCCACAAGGAGCTATACATTGAGCATGTTCTTTGCATCATTGTTTGTGGTAGCAAAGAGTTTCAGGAAAACTAGGGGCTCCATCTCTTGGGAAATGGATAAGATATGGCATAGTCTATATAATGGAATTCTATCTGTCATAAGTCACAAACTAGGCTGCATATAGCATCACAGGCTGACCTCAGAAACAGAATATTGAGAGAAAAAGAAGAAACAATGAGATATAGAACATGTTATGGACTGAAATCTGTTCCCCCCTCCCCACACTCATATGTTGAAGGGCTCACCTCCAGTACTTGAGGATGTATTTGGAGATAAAGTCTTCGAAGAGGTGATTAAGTTAAAATGAAGCCAATAGGGTAAGGCCCTAAGCTAATCTCACTGTTGTCCTTGTAAGAGGAAGAGATCAAGACACACAGAGACACAAAGACATACATGCACCGAGGAAAGGCCAGGAGAGGACACAGCAAGAAGGCAGCCACGTGCAGGTTAAGGAGAGAGGCCTCAGAGAAACCCAGCCTGCTCACACCTTGAGCTTGGACTTCTGTCCTCTAGACGGTGAGAAAATAAATTTCTGTTGTTCAAGCCACTGGTCTGTGGTATTTTGTTCTGGCAGCCCGAGCAGACCCATCCAGAGCACAATTCCATTTATTGCCTTTAAGAAGCTATGCACCAAAGCTATACACAGTATACGTAGAAGTACTGTTTTTCAGTAAAGCACATGTATCTACATAAATTAAGAATGGTTTGGAAGAGCATACATATATGTACCCAGTCAGGATGTTTATAGGGAGGAATGGGCGTGAGGAAAGTGGATGAAGGCAGAAAAACGGACAGAGGGAAGAAAGCAAAAGATGGCCTTGCACAGACTGATCATGCGATGAAACTGAAGAGCACGATCCCCTCAGTTCTGTACCTCTGAGTCCATCTCCCACCCACCAGCCCACCAAAGGAGGAAAAAGTTCTATACCCAAAATAGTGAGAGGAAGGGCAAAATGAGAATGAGCCATAATGAAGCACAAAGGAGGGGGCATTGTCAGGTTGTCAATCGCTCTATTCATAATACATGGAACAGCACAGCCTTAGCCAGACAGAGTCCTCCGTGAGTTGCAGAAAGGAGATACTCCTGCGTCAGGGACGAGAGCTTCCCCAGAAGGAGACTGGGAGCACTGATTGATTCATTCACTCACATGGGGGGACACTGGCGAACGTTAGTAAGCCAGAGGTCAGCCCTCAAGACTGCTAATAGATGTGCACAGAACTGAAACACTGGAAGGTGGTGCTGTAAGGCTGGGACTCCAGCTGATGAGACACTGGGGTTACACGCAAGGGCAGAGCTGGATCAGAGCAACTCTACCCTGACACCATGGTCGTGTATATAAAGCAATATTATTTGAAAGAAATTAACGTAGGAAGTTTCCATGTTATTGTGATTAAATAACTGTTCTGAGACACGGGTTTCTTTTAAAAAGCAGTGTCTCATATAGAAACTTTCAGGAACTATTCATGACATTAGGTACTTCTAACCTATGATTTCAGTTCCCTGTCTTTAAATACTTCTATCTATTACCTGAATCCGAATTAACTTTTATAGTGGCCTCGGTTATTAACAGATGATTGATAACATTATTTTGGCTTATATAGTCACAGAACTGCATAGCGTCCATCTCTCTGTTACGCTCCCAAAGAAAGAAATGTTCATATTCTGCTGTTTTTAATATCAGGAGAGTCAGTAAGTGATCTACACAGGGCTCACACTAGAGCCATAGAGTTTGATAGAATATGATCACATCATCTGAAATGCATGAAGGGTCTGCTATTGCAGCTGTAAATCAAAAAGACAACACTTGTGCTGCCTGGTTCTCCTTGTAAGAACATCTCTAAATTCATGTTCAGCTTATAAGCTGCCTTCTCGAGATGATTAGAAAATCGGATTCTGGTGAATCCCAGTTCTTACCCAATTTATCCCCAGCAAAGGTTGGAAAATTGCACATTAAGCTTTTCCTCTCCTTCCTCTCAGCCTTTCCTGCTGCAGGAGTGTCAACTTTTTGTTAAAGGAAGCACTCAAGGGAGAGAGGCTTTTCTCTGGACTATTCCGTCCCCTGGGTCTGATTTCTTACCAAGTGCTAATGATTGGTAGAGACTTGTTAGATGGAGTTTGTGTATTGGGCATCTTTGAACAAGGGGCAGGAAATGAAATTATCACTTCATTTCACATAAATATCAAGTTGTCACCAAGAAGACAACAACGAGAGCCAACTTCAGATATGAAGTGGTGACCCCCAGGGAGCATGCTGGCTTTAGATGTGAGTTAACTAGGGCGCTGAAGTAGATGGGTGAGGAGACTAAGACGGCCAGAAAATACTTTCTCCTCTTGCAGGATTATATGTGAAATTCCATGGTTTGAGTTTCACTCCTTAGTTTAAGATTTGCTGGGTTATTGAACTGTAATTAACCTATAATCCTATAGGATCTGGGTTTCAGATCCTAGCCTGTGAGTATGTTTTAGGAATGGAAAGAAAAAGGAATAAGAACACATCCCAGGAAGGACAGATGAGAGGCGGAAGCTTAGAACAAAGCTATTGTCATCCAAGTCCTGCTTTGTAGCGCCAGCTCTGACTGGTCATTGTCTCACTGGGTCACTTAGTCACTGAACCAAAGGGAAATCAGAGAGGCTGTCCACCCTGTGGGAGGAAGTGGAAGAATTTTCATAAGGAGGAAATCACAGTAGGCCTCGAGTCAAGAGAGAAGGGAAAGGAAGACCCACAACTGCGTTGTGGTTGGTGACAATCAGTTAGGGTATAAGTCAACACGTTTGATCAACCATAATGAAGGAACTGCCTTGGGCAAAGTTCTATTTGAAGGTGTTTGTGAAGGAAGAAGAACGAACTAAAACAGAAGTGGAAGAACGAGGTGCGTTCATCCTTTGACAATCCAGTGAGAAAAATCATATAGACACACAAAACAAGTAACAGCAATTCAAAGCAACGACTGTCAGCACAAATTAGCAAAACAAAGGCAGAGAATGGAAGCGGAAGTTGAATCTGAGGACTGATCAGAGAACACTTCCTGCAGAAGAGATCTGAGCCCCACCAGGAGGTGTTATCAGACACTAGTCAGCAGGGAACAGGCCATTTCCAGGGTTTTTTGGTTTTGTTTTTTAATAACTGCCAAATATGTACAAATGAGTGTAGACCTTGGTAACCCAGGCCTCTGGGTTTCAGTTAACCTATCAGAATGGAGGCAATTCTTCGGTGAAACAAGCCACCCCTACTGTCACTAAAAGTACTAATGGAAAGTCTCCCTGAGTCTACCCACCCTCTGTGATCTCAAAACACCAACACACAACCCTTTCATTGTACTTGCAATATTATAATAATCTGTTTATGGCTGTTTTTCCCAAGAGTTTGAAAGTCCCTCAAGTGCTAGATCATGTCTTATTCATCCTAGTAACCCCAATACCCAACATAGGGCATGGTACATAGTTGGCCCTCAATAATACTCATTTATTCAACCCATATTAATTGAGCAGCTACTACATGCCGGTGGCACAGAGTGGTGAACAAGATCGATGGGATTCTTGCTCTCATGGCTTACATGCACTGCCTGCCAGTGAGTGGGTAAACGGATGGAGTGAATGGAGGGATGCTTGTGCATTCGGATGCTGTAGATGTTGCCAGGACATTACTGGGTCTATAAGGCCCTTCTTACTTCTTGAAGGGTAAGATCCTTTGGTTGAAAATTTGTCTTTGTCTTACTGATAAGGGTGTGCACAGAGGTCCAAAGCTTCCCGCTATGGCAGAAAGCTTTGTGGTTGGATGGGTCAGGAGGAGGCTGTCAGGTAGACGGTCTGGCAGGGCGACAGGGTTATGCCGAACCTCAAGGGCCTGAGCACCAGGAGGGCTGCTTCATGAGCTTTAAACGAGGTTTGTCTATACGATATTTTCCCTAAGCTCTCCCTATTCTTCCTAGTTCCTGATCCCATCAGCTCATCAATCCTATTTACAAGATATCTATATCCATGTATGTTCCTCTCAAGAAGCCCACAATGTGAGTTTCTAGGTAAGTCCAACATTTCTGTTTTTACTTTCCGAAGATGGCCCTGATACACTTTTTTTCTCCCCCAACTTGGAAAATGAAGTTAGCTATCAGAATAACCAGCGCCAACTATTCATCACCTACCCTAAGTGGTCCAGAAATTTTTTTCTAAAAAGGGTTTGAATAGAAAAGTAAAGCATGCCTTAAATTTATAAAATAAAAGGATGAGGGTAGAAAACAGTCATCATAAAATAATGGTTTTACACATCTGTCACAATTCGTTGGTGATGGACACTCCAATATCTAAAAATGCAGAGTTTTAAACAGAAACCAGTAAAATCTGTGTATCATTTTACAAATTATCGCTTGAGTTTCACAACCAACCCATAAAGGAGACAGAATGGTAATTACCATGTGACAAATGATGAAACTTTAGGGGACTTCTTTTCTTTTTTCCTTTTCCCCACTTTATTTTATGAAAATTTTCAAATAAAGTTGAAAGAAAAGTACAGTGGACACTCAGGTGGGACCACTGGTAATATTTTGCTAACTTTGCTTTATTTATATATGTATAAAAACATTTCTCTTTTGCTAA